CCTCCGAATCCGCCTCCCATGCCTCCTCTGCCTCCAGAGACAGTCGTCCTGCCCACCACAGCTGGAAGAGAAGCACAGGTTATGTCCCGTTGCCCGGTCGCAGGCTGTCTCTGTAAAGACAGTCTGATGCTTTTTCTGAAGGACCCCGGGGCGGATACTTACAGACATTGACGTTGGACATGGTATCGTTGCACAGCCTGTGAAGGAAATTGGACATTTTAATTACCCAATAAAGAGAGGTTGTAAAAACTTTAAACTGTGTTTTGACTGTCAAACCATTTTCCTGGTTCATCCTCCTTTGGAATCACTAGAATATTGGAGGAGGGAAGGGGTTGGCAATTCCTCTTTACAATGAGATTTTTCCAGATCTGAGGGTCATTAAAAACTCACCAGTCACAGAGACGGGGCAGCAGCTTTACCATCTCTAGGGGGCCAGTTATGGGTCCTGACCCCCAGAATACCCCCACAAAGTATCAATCACAACATCCACCCATTAGCCCAAATAATTGGTTTGGGATTACAGTCAATATTCCAGGTGTAGTTCACAGCAGCCAATGAGAGCTCAGTTGTTTACCTGTTCTCCTCCCCCTCCAGCAGCTTCCTGTACATGGCAATCTCAACGTCCAGGGCAATCTTGACATTCAGCAGCTCCTGGTACTCCTTCAGCAGGCGAGCCAGTTCCTCCTTGTCCTTCTGTAGGGCACTCTCCAGCTCTTCCAGCTTCAACCTGGCATCTTTGAGAGCCATCTCCCCTCTCTCCTCGGCCTCAGCAATGGCTGCCTGCAGCTGCTGGTTCTGGGGAGCAAAACAGGAGCTTTCTCAGACCTCATTTTGTCCCTAATGACCAGTCCTCAGACCCCCAAGAGGAGAAATCAGGAGACAAATAAACATCTGCATGAAGTGAACTTGGTGTGACGGAAGGTTTCTGCCCCACTCATGGTCTTTTGTGATGTAACCTGCTGCCATCTTCCCCTGAGACACCAACCAGCCCCTTCCTTTCTTCATATCCTCGATCTCATCTCCGAGGCATCAACCAATCCCTACCTGCTTCTTCACATTCTCAATCTCAGCCCGCAGCCTCTGAATGTTCCTGGTCAGCTCCTGGATCTCAATCTTGGTGTTGCGGAGGTTGTCCCCGTGCCGGCCGGCCGTGCTCTGGAGCTGCTCGTACTGATGGCACCAAAACAGAACAATACATCAGGGACACATTCCTGGTGCCTCTAGGAGATTTGTCCCCAGTTTCAAGGCTCGGGTGACACTACGAGGACCCACTGCACTGCCAATGGATGCCCAGCTCAATGTTCAAGGTGGCTCTGGGGCTCAGTCATGGGGTTTGAGCCTTGAAATGGACCTTGGTGACACTAAAATCATCTCTTGGCTTCTGAAAAGCCACTTGGGCTGGAATTTTCTCATTAAGATGCATTTTAGGCCATTTTTATTGAGAGCTTTTGATGCCTGAAGTTTTAGCATTCATACTATCCAGACTCTGTACTCCATTGGCGGGTAACCCTGAACTTAATACAAAGTGTTAGCAAGTTCACTCTGAACTTTACATAAAGTGTTAGCAAGTTCTCCTCACAGTTTAGTAAGAAAAAACAATATTTTTCCAGCCCAAGAACCAAGCTTCAGGCCCAAAAAGTATAAACAACAGTGAATTGAGGAGAGCAGTCTGAAAGGATGGGACTGCATAACCTGGAGCTGGAATTGGACAATTAACCTCAATATGTAAATAAAAGTGTGAAATCTCATGACCTATCATCCATCTTGGATCCATATTGGGTCCATCTGGTCCTCTGCCAGGCCCTTGTACTGCCCAAGGTGTATTGTTTGAAGGCCTTTTTAATAAATACCTACTTTATTCTTTTAAAACTGTCTGGCCTCTGTTCTAGGCAGCCTCTCGAGGCATTGGTTTGCGCCACACACCTCAGTGAGTTTGGGACGCATTGGGAAGAGTGAGTCAGATCCCTCAAAAGCACTTCAATACCTCTGGACCTTCCTTGCACCACAAGCTCCAGCCCCGTTAGCTTGAAAAGGTGTCTCACCCAGACATAAATTATTGTAAAGCACCCAGCCACACCCAGGAGTCTCGACTGCTCCCTGACTCACCTGGCTCTGGTACCAGGCCTCAGCCTCAGCCCGGCTGCTCTGGGCGATCTGCTCGTACTGGCGCCGAACCTCCTCAATGATGCTGTCCAGGTCCAGGTGCCGGTTGTTGTCCATGGACACCACCACGGACAGGTCCCGGCTGATCGTCTGCATCTGAGACAGCTCCTGCAACCAAGACATGAGTCAGAGGCACCATCTCAAGCCTAAATCCACCCAGACACCCCGTCCAACCTCAGTGTTCTTAGCCACCACACACCTGATAAAAATTTCAGCCCCCCTGGAGAAGAGAGAGCTCCTACCTCCTCGTAGATGCACCTCAGGAAGTTGATTTCATCTGTCAGAGCTCCCACCCTGGCTTCCAGCTCGACTTTGGTCATATAGGCACTGTCCACATCCTAAAGGAAACATCCCACAGAAAATAATTTTTTTTCCTCTTGGGAATCCTTCAGGCTTGTGTGAATCGCTGTCTGTGCTGAGGGTTTGGTGTTATTCACTGGGACATCATTATGTTTATATATAATTCAGTAACCATATATGTAAATAATTTTAAATAAATAATATTATAGTGTCTCCAATTATGTAAATTAAATATAAGGGGTTCTGGATATCAGCTGGGAGATTGTAAAAACTCCACAATTCCCATTCAAGCACAGATAGAGCGAAATATTGAGAGATTATTTTGTGGTGCCTGTGACTCACCTTCTTCAGCACCACAAACTCGTTCTCGGCTGTCGTGCGCCGGTTGATCTCTTCCTCATACCTATGGAGAAGAAAAGTGCAAATTGTATTCCTGGACTTTCCTGCCTAAGGCCATTAGAAACAAACTAAAAGGGGAAAAATCCCTAAATTAAAATATTTATACTGAAAAACTATCTCTGCTATCACCATAAAAAACAGTTGGGGAAAATTAAAGTGACCAAAAGGCTGCTTGAGCTGCTCGTAGCTCCACACTCACTTGGTTTTGTAATCCTCGACATACTGCTGCATGTTCTGCAGCTCCGATTCCAGCTGGCCCCGCTGTGCCAGGATTGAGTCCAGCTGCCTCCGCAGGTTCTGGATGTAATTCTCAAAGATCACATCCAGGTTCTTCCTCGGCCCTGTTGGTCCTTGCTGCTGGAGCAGCTCCCACTTGGTGGAGAGCACTTTGTTCTGCTGCTCCAGGAATCGGACCTACAGCCAAGACACAGAGGACCCACCATCACACAGGAACAGCTCCCACCAAAACATCTCTTGCATCACTCAGAAAGTTTTGCATGGTGAGCAGAGAACCAATTAACTCTGGCTTTTTCACTTTCTGTTGGTGCCTAAGGTGCAAAATCAGGAAAATAAGGAAATTTCTAATATTTTTTCTGCTCAAAGGAGTTTTTATGCATTGCCCTTGGACTCCAAGTCCATCCCCATCATAAGTAGTGTAGAAATCTGATCTCCAGCCTAGATTTAAAAGCCTGGAGACTTGAAAGAGAAAAAGATATAAATTAATTCTTAAATGGGAGGTTGTTTGGGCAGAGAGTGGTGGAGGAGGAAGAATCTGTGCCTGAAACTTGCGGAGGTTGAAGGTGTTGAACCTGCTTGAGAGCATAACCTCAGAGTAGAGCTTGGTGCAACAGGACAGATGAAAGCCCTGGAGACATTGCTTTGATCTTGTGTGGAGGAGAGATTCCCATCTCTTCCCTTAATGAAAAGGCTCTGCTCAAGCTTCTCTGCGTGCTGGGATTTAGCTCCAGCAGGACATTTCTGCAGAATTGGAAAGTTCCTCCTAATTCTGGCCTTAATCACTCACAATCCCACCCTCTCACCTTGTCGATGAAGGAGGCAAACTGGTTGTTCAGGGTCTTGATCTGCTCCTTCTCCTGGTTTTTAACTTGCTGGATCTGGGGATCAATCTCCACATGGACCGGACGCAGGAGGGTCGTGTCAATCTGCACTGGCTGGATCCCAGGGCCGGCTCTCCCAGGGCCACCCATGCCAAAGCCTGGGCCACCAAAGCCACCCATTCCTCCACCACCCATTCCACCACCAAAGCCACCCATTCCACCACCAAAGCCACCCATTCCACCACCAAAGCTACCCATTCCTCCTCCACCCCCCATTCCACCTCCACCCATTCCTCCAAAGCCACACATTCCTCCTCCTCCTCCACCCATTCCGCCCCCAAAACTGCCAAGACCCCCATAGCTCCCGCCAAAGCCGCCCATCCTGCTGCCATACCCGCCACCGTAGCACCCGCCCATGGACATCCTGGCGCTGCCCCCCATGTTGTGGAGGCTCCGGCTGCCAAAGCCCCCGCACCGTCCTCCGCCTCCGAATCCCCTGGACACGGAGTACGAGCTGTAGCTGCTCCTGCTCCGGCTGCCACCTCCAAAGCCACCACCAATTGCAGAGCAGGAGCTAAAGCCTCTCCTGCTCCCCCCTCCAAAGCTCCTGCAGACAGACTGACGAGACATGGCTGGTTATCCTCAAAAGAGCCAAGAGTGGAGAAGCTGAGGAACTCAATGGGGTTGTGGGTGAGGAGGTGGGTGGAAGAAGGGAAGTCAGTCCCTCTGGCTGGAGGGCAGCAGACGCTCCCTTTTATGTGTTTTTGGAGGTGGGCTGGGTCTGCATGGGCGTGAAGGAGGAGACAGGTCCTGTCTTCATCAGTGTGGCGTGGCTAAAGATTTCCATCTCCAATTTGCCAAACATTGACCCGACCCAGAAACACACCCTCTAATGCAGAAGAAAAGGCAAAAAAGATACAACTGGGGCTCCCAGCACTCCATGACTAAGGAATCCTACACCTTGTGGAGCAGCAAGAGCCTCCCTGGGATATACCAGGCATTTTTTTTTCCACCTTTAATCCACTGGGGCTTTTTCCCTGCTTGTGTTTATCTTTAAATCTCTCACTCCAAAACCCCATTGCAGGCAAGCACTGCGGTTCATGCCAAATTGTAGCATGGCTTTCACAATTCCCAAAACACACCTAAGTTACACCCTCAGACTTCTTTTTACTTGGAAAATTGCCTTTGGCTTGGAGAATTAAATTTCTCAATCTACAGCCAGGGCTCAGCAAATTGCATTTTGATGAGGCTCTGCACCTTTTTGATAAATAAAACCTCACCGGTGACGAGACACTGGTGCTGGCACTGGAAATTCATTTATTGTTGGACTAAAGCATGTTCCACTGTCTTCATGCCAAGATAATCTCAGCACTGGTGAGGAAATACCCTATCTGGGAAACCTGTGTAGGATTTTCTGAAAGCTTCAGGACCATGAGGAGACACCAGGCACTGGCTGCCATGGTGGGATGTGCAGGAAGATGGAGGGACAGCCCCAGGAACGCAGTGGGAGGAGGGATCCCAAACCTTGCTGTCCACATCACATGCCCTGGAACAATTTAAATGCAATTAATAGAGCTCAACTCAGTTATAGAGATGTGAAAATCTGGAGAGCACAGGGCTTCTTTTCAGCTGTTTCACTTATTTTGGTGTTTATATGCAAATATATATTTTAGCAGATGTAGTTTTTAGAAAGGTAGGAGGTTGGAATTCTCCAGTTCTGATCCCAAACTGAGGATGGATTCAGACTATAATCTGTCACAGAATTCCAGAATGGTTTGGGTTTAAAAGGACCTTACAGCCCATCTCATTCCACCTCCTGCCATGGGCCAAGACACCTTCCACTATCCCAGGTGGCTCCAAGCCCCATCCAACTTGGCCTCGGACATTTCCAAGGAGTGGGCATGCACCACCCTTCACAGAATCATGGAATGATTCAGGCTGACTCTGTAAGTCTTTTAATCCAAAAATCCATCACAGATCCACCCTTTTGCCTTGCTTATCAAACAGCAATTAGTCTAATTTTCTTTTTTAATAAAAAAAATAGATGTCTTTATTACTTTTAAGCACTTTAAAGCCACCTAGGCCATACTGAAGTCCAAACCCACAGGTCTGGAAACACCTAACTGTATTGGCAGCCATCTGGTGCAGGTCTCAGAATTCTCACAGGACACATATTAATTTAAAGCTTCTGGAAAATCCACACCAGCAACTTCTGGTATCATCAGATGTTTAAATATCTCTAAAAATATCACCCAGACACCCATTTCCAAAAGTGCCTTGGGACCAGGACATGCAGCTAAACTGGCATTTCCACTGGAAAACATGACATTCCCTGTGTTTATCCCACCTCCAGGACCTGTGTGGGTCTGGGAGGACTCAAGGAGGTGGATTGGGAAGGATAGATAAGGCTAAGAAAAATCATGGAATCACAGAATTGTTAAGAGTGGAAAAGACCTTCAAGATCATCAAGTCCTACTTTTGCAAAAAAAAAAATAGTATCAAAATCTCACTGAGAGCAAAGGAAGGGAGGGGTTAGGAGTTGGACATAAGTTTTTACAGGCAATAAAACAAAAAATATACAAGAAATCAATACACAGACAATAAAAATGGGGGCTGGGGCACTGTCCCCCAACAGCCCAGGCAAGACCCACCTCCCTCAGTGTTATCAAACCTCTGGTTACACTTTCCTGGGGGATTTTTGTTGGGATTTTTTTTCTCCTTCTGTGGGCGGGAAGACACGATCTGAAAGTTCTCCTGTTCCCAGGGGAGGAGAGTTCCCGAGTCAGCAAACGGCAGAGCCCCGAGCACCCATGGAGAGATAACACAGGGCGTTGAGTCACGGCCATGACTTCAGCCAAGCTTAGGAAATCGAACTGGGATTTGGGTATCGATACCACCTCCCAGTTCAGACATGGTGTGCAGAGCTGGAAGGGCTTGGGTGGGAATGGAGTGGAAAGATCATCCCATCCTACCCCTGCTATGGGCAGGGACACCTTCCAGTAGACCACACTGCTTCAAGCCCCATCCAATCTGGATTTGGGCATTTCCAGGGATGCAGCAGCCACAGCTTTTCCAGAAAATCCATTCCAGGATTTCACCACCCTCACAGGGAGGAATTCTTTCCTGATATCCCATCTAATCCTGTTCTCTTCCAGCTGGAAGCCATCACCCCTTAGCCCATCATTTCAGGCCCTTTCCAAGTCCCTCTACAGCTCTCATGGAGCCCCCAGTGAAGGAAAATGAGCTTCAGAGGTCACTTCCCACCCAAACTGTTCCACAATGCTGTGAAAATAAACAGGCCTTGAATAACTGAGAGGAAACCATGAAATCACAGAATCATGGAATGGTTTGGGCTGGAAAGGACCTTGAAGTTCATCTTGGTCCACCCCCTGCCATGGGCAGAGACAAACCCTGATTAATCCAATCCTATTTTCAGACCATGGAAAACTTTGTCTCTCCTCCAACCAGAGGCAGGAATTATATTACCTCTGTGTCTGGCCTGGGATAATTTTTCCCTAATTGCTGGTGTGATCCCAGGAATAAAAAGGGAGGGATTTGTAAGTATGTTTGTTTTAGCAACGGCCTTTGTGCTCCTGGAGAAGCCCTTTGTCTCTCCTCAGGCAGGAGTCACTGCTGGAAGCGAGTTTGGATTGGGGTGACTCCGAGGGAAGTCAATGCCTTTTCATTCAACACCACTTCAGGTCACTTTTACAACTCCCTGAATGCTTAACCATCGCTCAAACCATGTCCCCACCCAAGCAGTGACAAGCCCATGCTGGCAGCATTGTGTCATTCCATTGTGACATCCTGCTGTCACTGCTGGTACTGGATGTCTTCAGCCTTTACCAGCTCAGAATGGAACATGGGAGAAATGGGATGAGTCACTCCAAGCACAGCCTGTGGTTGGCCAGGGATGTGATTCAAGGGCTCCTGAGCAAGAGATCAAACCACAGCAGGAGGTTGGGGATCAAAATTTATCCAAATACTCTGCTTTTGAGGAGAGGTGGGTTTGATGGAGTAGCAGGGGAAGGTCTTGCTCTTCCCATGGTCTCAGTTATCCTTTGGAGATGCCTTAAGAGCAATTCATGTATCCTCAGTGAGTCCAGACAGTAGGAAAGCTGCAGGGCTGGCTCCAAAATAATGGATACCAAGGAATTAGCTCCGAAGTATTTGGAAGGGTAATGTCCGCTCTTCCTTCTCCCACACCAACCATGGTAGGATGCTCCTAAAGCACTTGGAGTGGTGCGAAGAGTTTCCTGAGAGCTCCAGCAGTGGCACCACAGTCCTGGACCCACCTTGTAAGACATGGTGGGCAGTTGTGTGGTCAGGCACAGTGGCCAGGGAGAGGTGGGATAGCTGGACAACATCCAAATTGGCTAACTCCAGCAGGGAAAGGGCTTAGGAAGAGAAGGAGGAAGGGAAGAGTCTCCTAAAGTCCAGAGAATCTGAAAGTCTGCTCAGATCTGGTGGGAACAATGGTGGAACAACAATCTCTGCCATGTCTGGAGATCCTGCAGGACACATAGGAGGATCCAGGGGCTGCCTCTTTCTCTCTGCTAGGAGTGGGGTCATTCCCAGGGCTGTCAACAAAGACACCCCCAACTGTGTCACTGTCACTCTGCATCCAACGTCCCTTCAGCCTCCCTGGTGAGACCCTCCTCAAACTCTCCATATTTTTGGAGACAGAGACAGGTGAGAGGAGACCCAGTTGCCCCTTCACCTGAGTTCCTTTAAATTCAGACTTCAAAGGGCAGGAGAAAGTCAGGAAATGTTTTCAGATCTCATCAGAAGATGAGACTTGTTACAACATGAAACTCTTTGGTCGGAGAGAAAACCACACCAAGTTTCTGCCTCTTGTGTTTATTGGGGGATGGCACATGCCAAGGAGAAAGGCTTAAGCAAACACACATGACTGTTCTCGTAGTCCCAAGGAAAATATGAACCCTGAGTAAAAATAAACATTTTACAACAGCACGAGTGAAGCTTGGGGAGAAAAAGCAAACTAAAAGTCAGCTGGGTAAGAAACATCTTCAGATGGGCCAAGGCACCAGGAAGAAATTCCTGTTTTGGAGCTTGAGCTGCAGCTGATGAATGATACTGATTAAAGTTGCACTACGGCTGGATCCAGCACAAGAGCTTGAGAGAAGCACTCGGAGCTGTGATCAGATCCATCCCCGCTCCTCCTTGTGGTCGGGTGCCGCTTGCTTGGAGGGTGCTGGGCTCATCCCAGTCAGGTTTGGGGCTCCCCATGAATGGGCAGGTCCCACTCCCAAAGGAGAGCTGAGCACCTTGATGTCCAGCAGCTGGAGGGGAGCACAAGGGATGGAGCTGTTCTCGGCTGCTGTTGGGAATCTCAGTCCTTACCAGGTGGATTTGGCCATGTTTGTCTCCTAGCCACAGTCTGAGTGATGGTTTAGGGACCATCAGTGCCCATCACTCAGTGGTCACTGGGATGTCATTGTGAAATTTGCTCCCTTTCTCCTCTGGATGCTAGGGGTTGGATGCCTTTCCTATGGCCTCCGGCTGGTGGGGCCGCTGTTCTTCAGGACGGTGCCAGATCCTCCCACCACCACCGAGTTAGATCCCCCACTCAGGGAGCCAAATCCACTCCCGGCACCAAATCCACCCCC